GTTCACGCTGAACTAAGTGCAGGGTGGAATGCAGGGTGGGAGTGTCGGGGTGGGTGAAGTGTGTAGTGTACGTGGAGGTTATTGTGCGGTGGAAGTGCCAGGCAACATTGTGTGCGCGGAGGTCATTGCACGGTGGAAGTGTCAGGCAAGTTTGGCGCCAGAAAATTAAAAGCAGGCTTGTAAACGTGCAACTTGTGCCATTTGCACGACGGTTTTGTCGGGTACACGAAAGATCCCTCGCACGCTTCTGGGGTCGGCGGATAAGGCCCCCAGGAATGCGGGGACGGGGCTTCCCTAATGGCGGACGCCGCGCCCTCAATTCCTAGCCGCGGCCCCCGTCCGGAACGCCGCGCCCCCCCCCTTTCGCCCCGCGCCCGAAGGCGCCGCGGGCCGGCCCTGCGGGGTCAAACCGATGCAGCCAATGTCGCCGAGGCGTAAGAGCGACCTGTCGCCGGAGCGATCTTTGGTGCGCGGCTTTTTCGCCCTCGGGGGCCCCGTCGTCGTCGCGCCTTGGCGCAGCCCGAAAAACGTGTTAGCGTGGGCCCCGGGGGGCCCGGGGATCGATCCTCGGCGGATTTGTGCGCGCCAAAGATCACTCTTGCCGAAGGACACTCTTGCGCCCCCCCGACAATGGGGTTGGGCCGGCCGTGCTTTGATCGGAAAGGCGCCGCGAGGCGACGACGGCGGTGGCGGCGACGACGACGACGACAGAAGTTTTTGCTCGAGGTCCGCCTGGGCTCCAGGGCCGCGGTCGCCATCCACCGAGCTCGAAGCAGCGGCGGGGTCGCGCCAGGGCGACCCACTGGGCTACAGTGGGGCTGCGGCCATGTCATCTGCTGCAGGTTCCCCACCGCTGATTTATTCGAGATCGACGTCTGCGATGAGCCTCGCCAGCTCCGAGCCGTAGGAACACCCAGACCCAGAGGAGGCGTCGCTCCTGCCCGCGCTTGCGACCGACGGGGCTGTCGTAGGGGCGTCGGATGGCGCCTCCTCGCTATTGCCCGCCGGCAGCGACCCGAGCAGGCACGTCGACCCTGGCGCGTGGATTCCCGGTAGCAACACTGGGCGTTACATCAAGCGGGGCGTGGCGATTGGGCCGCAGGCTGCAGTCTTGGTGGCCAACGTGTTCCATATTCTGCGAGGCCCCCCAAAGAAGCTGTTGCAATCCTGGGAACGCGCCTTGCCGCCCGCACCTGGGCTGGGGGGCGCGCGACAGACCGAGTGTTCCGCTCGGGTGGCGGGGGCGTCTATTGGCGATGCCGGCCGGGGCCGTCAGGGCGATCTACTACCGTTTGCGTGGTAATGATTGGCGGCCCCAGAGCGAGCCGACCGAACCGCCCACGCAGGATGGAGTGAGCGAGCTGGCCGGGGCGCCCCCGCAGGACAACGCCCACGTGTGCCTCTTGAACACCGTCCGGGTTGTATTGGCGCACGCGCAGGGGGGGGGGTCGTTCAATGAGCTGCCTGGCGTTTTGTGGGGACATCACCTGGCCAGTGCCAACGTGTCCACGGGGGCGACAAACCGGGAATTCTGCAAGGCTGTCATTGCATTCGCGAGTTGATCGCTGAGTCATATGGACGCCGATGATTTCAACGGAGATTTACCCGGGCTTGGTGTACCAAGTGATTTCAGCATCCTGGCGGACCCCGTGTCCCTCGGCGTCGGCCCGCGGTCGCGCCACGACACCTTGTGCGTCATCTGTTCGTGCCTCGCCTCGAGGTGGACGTGCCGCCTCTATGCTCCGATGCACAGCGCGCCTGCGATGCCCATTGGCGCCCGCGGCGGCGATGCTACGGCGGCACTCCTGGAACGGAGCATGGCGCAGCATCCGGCGCAGTGGGGGTCCCGCGCGCAGGGCTCAGCAACCGAACCGATCGTCATCGTAATCGTTTGGCCACCTCGATGCCATCGCTTTAAGAGGCGGGTTTTTTCGTGCAGTCCCCCTCGCCTGGAGCTCGACAGGCCGCCTCTTCGGCCCTGGTTGCTTCCGATGATGGGGGGGTCGTTCGGGGGCGTTCCGAGAGTCCACCCGGTGTTGGTTTGGATGCCTGCCCGACAGACGTCCCAATAATTGCCCCGCTGATTGTCCCACAGATCCGACGCGCACGCGCTCGCCCTACAGTCCCGTCGGAGGCACGCACGACACACACCACTCCACACAACACAACACAGCACAATACAACACAATACAACACAACGCAACACGCAACACACAACACACAACACACAACACACAACACAACACAATACCCAACACAATACCCAACACCACCCAACACAACCCAACACACATAAACAAGACACACACGCACAACACACACAACGCACACACAACACATCACACACACAACACAACAACAACAAACAATCACACACACAACACACGCACACACAACACACGCACACACAACACACAACACACAACACACACACACACAACACACAACACACAAGACACGCGCACCGCGGCGCCCCATGATTCCGATATTCTCCTGAGGGGCATCGTGAATCCTGTGCGCCGCGCGCCGGCTGAGGTGCTACGGGCCCGGTGCGCCGCAGTTTGCGGAGACGGCGCATTATGCAGAGGGGGGCCAGACCATCGCCATGCATCGACCGCAGCCGCGGAGAAGTTCTGGACCGCCCTGCATCCGACTGCCAGCGAGGCCGCCTCGGGGAGCCCCGCCGCCGGCGGCCCAGCTCCTGGGGGCGCCCAGGTCGCCGAGGCGTACGCGGGCCCTTCGCCGGAGTGGCCCTTGGTGCGCGCGCGGTTGTTTGGCCCTCGGGGGGGCCCCTCGTCGTCGCGACCGGGCGCAGTTCGAAAAACGCGTCAGTGCGGGCCCAGGAAAGAATTGGGGAATCGATTTTCTGAGGAATTGCGCGCTCCAGTGGTCACTCTTGCCAAACGTCACTTCGACGCACCCCCGACCAGGGCAGCGGCCCACCACCTCGGCGAGCCGCGCCCCTCTGTACTGTCTGGGACCCGTTTCACCGCGTCGATGCTGCGGCCTGGCGCGCCATCCGGTCGGTTCCACTGGCCGTCCGCGTCTTCGACGTCAGTATGGAATTGGATCACTTACTCGGGCAAGGCGAGGGGACCTTGTTCTTCAGGGGTGTAGGGGCGCTTCTGGGTGGGAACGAAGCAAGGGCGCTGAGGGCTCCGGGTGGGGCCAGAAAGATCGGACATTTGTCTGGCACCCCTGGCGCGCTGCTAGAGAATTACAAGGTCCCGCGGGGGAGACGAAAAAAAGTCGCAGGCGAGAGGGGCGTCGCGAATGTGTTCGGCCACGCCCTAGCAGACCCGCCCGTCAGACCCGCCCGTGAGCCTCCCGCCCCGTGACCCGTTCGTGTGGCCCGCCTGCCCCCACGCATGGGATTTCATCGACCATGGGGATTGCTGGCGCGGGGCCCCGGCCCCGCGGGCTTGCGGTAGGTTTGTGTCGCGTCGACCGCGGGCGACCCCAACGCGCGCGTTCCAGGTTGAACACTGCCGGTGGCCCAGAGTCGCCCCACGTTGGGCGATCCGTCGTTTCGGAAGCACTCAAGGTTCAACGATCCCCGCGGTACCATAAACCAATGTCGGGGTCGGCTCGACGCGAACCCGCCGCAGGCGCTTTCGACCTCGGGTGGTGGCAGAACGATTCGCCTTGCAAGAAGAACAGGTCCCGGAATGTCCAACTTGCTCCAGGTCATTATGGGCGCCCTGCATGCCAGAGTCGCGTGGGTGCAAGAAGGCCACCGGCATCAGTCACTTCAGCATTTGGCAGATGTCAGTCGGACCTTGGCCGACGTGTCCTTCGTGGCGTTCGCATGCATATTTGCCGACGTCTTGCGGGGTGGCTTGAGGCCGCTTACTTTGCAAGTGCAAGGGGTGCTCGAGCCGGCAGTTTTGAAGCGGCTGGAGGTGCGAGTGCAGGCGTACCTTACAGGAGTGCGGCACCAGCTATATGTTTTACGCGGCCTGTTCCGCGTCGTCGCTTTGTTTGGACAGCATGTTCCACCAACCGATTTGTGCACTTTGTCTTGGCGTATCGGTGCTCGAGTTTGGGTCGCTCTTTTCCGACTCTGTTCAATGCTGTGTCTGGTTTGTTGTCGCCGGCACCGTCGTTCAATGGAGTGGGGTTGAGACTGCCGACGACGGAGCTGGCGCGCGATCCTGTTCAGAAGATGTGCCTCGGCCCCACTTGCCAGTGCGATAGCATACTTCGACAGCGCCAGGCCGCGTGGGAGGGCGCAGTGCAGGGCCGGGGCAGAGGGCGTGGCCGAGACATGGGGCAAGCGGGCGGCGCCCGGGCAGTTTTGCCCAGAGTCGTTGCTTGCCCCCGGGGGGCGGCCCATGGCCGCGCCGTCGGCGCGCGCGTTCCCCCGTGCGTCGCGTACCCCAGCGACGAGGCGAAGGGGTACCGGGGCGCGCGTCCGTGCCTATGCGTTCCAGGGTCGCCCTGCAAAAGTTACTGCGAGGGCTTGCTGTCGACGTCGCCGCGTTACTCGAAGAAGTCCAGGGTATTCACAACGCCGCCAGGAATGGACACGAAGGCAATGTTCCGCAAGATATGGACCCCTGACCACGCTTCAGTATGCAGGGCATCACATGCCATGTACACGAAACACGACGATATAGATGCTGCCTTGGTACAGGCGGCGAACTTTGTGACGGGACTGTCGACAGAGTTGGGTGCATTGTTGCACCAGGTTGGTATGAACGAGAGTATGAGTGAGCTGTTGGATGCTGCTGGTACTTGCTGGGACTGGGCTTCTCTGGTATTCAATCGCCCTTCGGTCTCACACGCACGGGCTTTTCACGCAGTGGCTCGCGTTCTGGAACCTTGCATGACTCACACTTACTATCTGGTGGACCCTACCTTTCGCGCAGTGAAGCACGATTGGCCAGGATGCGACGAGTTGGGTGGGCAGTGCATGAAGCTCGCCGAGCGGGTGCGTTCAGCAAGGGCCGCGGCCAAAGCAGCGGGCGCCGGGGCTGCCCAACCCCCCGCCGCCCGAGGACGGACAAACATACCAGACCACGTTATTGCGGATGCGAAGAGTTGGTCCCAGATAGTAGGGTACGTTGCGCTGCCAGTCGGTGCGCGGACGGTCGTCCAGGACGCCATCGAGACACAGTATCCCAGGCGCACGGACGTCGCCAAGGTCACCGCTCTCGTTTCTTATTTCCTCGGGTACAACATCTCGCATAAGAAGCCGGCTGATCTGCGGGTGCCTGGGTCGCGGGCTCGGAGAAGCGCTAAGATGCCGAGACTGCCCGAGGTCCCTTTTCATGTGGGCGATATGGCGGTGGACTGTGCTGGCGCGTGCTTCCAGATTGTAGCGGTTAAGCGTCGAATCGAAATGTTTGGCGCTTCGCGGTTCCCCGCCAGCCCACCCAAGACGTGGAAGTATAGCCGAGCTTGAAGCATGCAGTGCGACGGTCGCTTGAAGACAATATCCTATACCGCGGCGGCTCCATGGGGGTCCCCTGGAGCCCCTCTTTGATTTATCTTGGGCCACTCTCCGTCCCGAGGAACCCGTCCCATTCCCCGTCCCGAGGAACCCATCCCCTCCCGAGGAATGCGGGGAACGCCGACTATCAGCCAGAAGAAGTGCACCCGCAAATTAGTTTCCTAACTTCCTGCGCGCCTACAAGAGCAATATTTGGGGAGGGGGGGGGGGGCGCGGTGGCGATGGGGTGGGGGGCGAGAAGGAGGGGGGGGGGGGGGCGGGCCGGCGCGAGGAGGATGATGAGGAGGAAGGGGGGGGGGACTGGAAGGGGGGCCTTCGGGTTTGTGTCATTGTGCGACTCTTGGGCCTGTCCTGGGGTTCGTCCAGCATGGTGACTTGGAACCCGGATCGTCGTCTTGGGAGCCCCCGAAACTTGGTGACCATCGATCCTAGGCCATCAATCCTTTCAGTCTTGGGTTTTTTTGGGTGGGTCTCGCAGCCCTCTTGGATGCCCCTCTCGGACCTTTGGTCCCAAATGAGGGGGGTGCGTCTTGGGGTGCGTCTTGGAGCGGCCTGCGGGCCTCTTGGGGGCACCCAGGGGACCGTATTGTGGGCCATCGCGGGCTATCCTTTGGCCCTGTTGCGCAATCTGGGAGGGCATCTTGGGCAGCCCGAGGGCCTTGAGGCCATTTTCGGTTTATTATTGGACGCCCCAACGACCCGCGAAACGCCCCGGCCAGGACCAGGGGAGGGGGTGCCCCCCTCTCGCCCCCCAAGGGGGAAGAGGGGGAGGTGGGAGAGGAAACGTTCGGAGCCAGTCACGCCCTAAGGGCTGGTGAGATTGAAAAGGTGACATCGTCGATCGTGCGGTTTCCTTGGTTCAGCATTGGCCATGGAACCGAACACTGTTACGTCGCTTGGCACGCCGCGCGATTGGCGCACCGGTGCTCCATGATGTTCCCGCCGGAAGCCCCGTGCGAAAGGTTCGGCTCTCTTCTTCGGCTGTATTGGGAAACCCGGCGGAACTTGACCCCTGTTGACATCGCCGACATCGCGCTGCTTTCGGAGGCGGGCGTTCGCTGCGCTGGGTCCAAGCGGGACGAGATCATTGTTGAACAAGTCGCTCACTTGCTGCGAGAAGTTTCCGTGGCGAGTCGGTGCAGTACCACCAGGCGAGCACCCATCCGAGCACCCTTGGCCATCCAAGACGAGGAACAGCGCCTGACCGAGTCGGGCCGTTTCGCCGGTCAGGGCGATTCCGTGGCGCCCCCGCTGGATGTTCTCGGGCTCCCGGCAGGCGGCGGGGACGTAGGCCGCCGCGTTTTTTTGCGGGGGCGGCGTGGACTCGGCATCCCCGCCGAGTTACCCAGCACAGTTGCCCGCCATGTGAGGCGCAATTGCGTGAACGGGACGATGGCCCCCCTGCCGGTGGACGTCAGGACGCTGCATGCCTCGCAGCGTGGCGCTGCGAGTGCCACGTTACGAGCCCAGACGAAGGCTTTCTGGGAGTCCGAGGCCGGCGCGGCGTGGCGCCAGGAGCGTGCTGAATTGTTCCAGGGCGGCGAGCTCACCGTCGCGCCGTCGTCGTGGTCACATTTCCCTCCGGGACAAGAAATAACGCCCCCTTTTATCACGCCGCTTCACCCCTCCACGACGGGCGGTCGTCATCCCGCCCGCTCTATACTCCGCCTACCCGCTCCCCCGCCCCTGCTGCGCCTTGTCCTCCTGCCCCCCGCCCTCTCTGACGCCTCCCCCCCCTTCTCGTCGCCTTCGCCCCCTTCTCGTCGCCTTCGCCTTCCTGCCTGCGGCGGGCGCAAGCAGGGTTGCCACGACGGTCAGACGCCCCAGGGAATCCGCGAGGCACCGCGCACCCCGCGCACCCCGACCAGGCCACACAAAAGCAATATCCGCCCCGTTGCTTTCGGGAACGGACCAGGGGTGACAAACCGCCGCGTCATATGGAATCGGTTCAAATTCCCGGGGCCATTTCTGAGCCGATTTTGAGGGGGGGCTGACCATCGATTCTGTCGCCGCTTTCGGTCTCTGTTTTTTTTTTTTTTTGTCTCGCCCCGGGGCCCTCGGAAACGGAGCCGGGTGAGAAATGTTGTCCGCTTGACCTGGTTGGGGGCCCGACTTCAGCAGATCTTTGTCTGGGGACGAGGGGGCGTTGCGCTCCGCGATTGCATCCGTGAGCGACTTTCCGCGTTTTCGTATATCTGGCACAGGGTGCGTCGCGCCGCTGCTTGCCCCCCCCCCCCCCCCCTCCTTTTCCTTCGGAGTGCTCGCCGGAGGGCCCTACGCGAAAAAGTCGCCCTGGCGGCCGCGGCCCCGTGAAACCCGAGCGCCGAGGGGCCGGGCAGCGGCGAGCTCGCCTCCGACGGGGGCGGCCGGGATCCGCCACGAAAGATCTTAGGGGGCACTTGGGCACTATGGGAACCAATGGAGCACCGCCGCGTCCCTCTTTCCCTTCGGGGTGCTCGCAGGAGGGCCCTGGACGAAAAGTCCGCCCTGGCGGCCGCGGCCCCGTGAGACCCGAGCGCCGAGGGGCCAGGCAGCGGCGAGCTCGCCGCCGACGGGGGCGGCCGGGATCCGCCATGAAAGATCCCAGGGGCACTTGGGCACTATGGGAACCAATGGAGCACCGCCGCGTCCGCGTCGTTTGCGCTGAAGTGCGCCGCGTTGACGGCAGGTAAATCACTGTCTGGGGTCCACGCTGGGTTCCTCCTGGGCCTTCTCGGTGCCCTCTCCCGCCCCCGAAGCAACCGCGACGGCCCGCGTCCTCTCGGGGCGCCGTCGTGTCCGTTCAGGGCCCTCTAGAGCCCCGCGCTACGGAGATAGCATCGCATAGAGGGCGCGGGTTGCACCACGTAGCGCGCGCAGCAGAGATGATAAAATATGGCGCCGCTAAGCTCGCCAAAGCTGCGCGCCAGAATTCTTTGTCTGGGGCCCGCGCTGCGATGGTAATGTTGTTTGCGTTGCGTTGCGCGCAGCTCGCCCCGCCCGTGCTTATTTTGGCCCAGGAGCGCCACCGCGAGGGCGCAGGGGCGCCGCGGCGATTTGCCATGGAGGCAAGGGGTCCTGGAGGAAGCGGGCCCTGGACCCGAACCCCCCCCCTTGACAAGATTTTCATCCCGAGTCGTTTCTCGACGGCCCCTGGGCCCATTGAGCGCCCCAGGAGGCCAAAATTATCCGAATGACGTTCAGGGCGCCCCTCTCCCAGGGCCCCTTTTCCATCATGCTGCGCAGTTGGCCCTGCGGGCAACGGGCCCCGGAGGGGGCGGGCCCTGGGCCCCGGCCACCCCCCCGGACAATATTTGCATCGCGAGTAGTTGTCCGAGGGTCCCGGGAGGGGACGGGGGTGGGGGGCAGAAGCCGAACGCGTGTAAAAAAGTTCAGGGCCCGTTTCTCCCAGGACCCCTTTTCTCCTCCATGAAAAACGACTGACCACATTGCTGGCGATTGCTGGCGATTTACCCATCCGAATTTCTTGCAGAGCGATTGGTGCAAGAAACGGGTCCTGGAAGAAACGGGCCCTGGACCCCAGAGTGCCCCCTGGGACCAGATTTTAATCCCGAGTCGTTTTTTCGACGGTCCCGGGGCTCGTTGAGCGCCCCCGGAGGCCGAAGACAACGCCAAACTGCCAGGACCAATTTCCTCTAGGACCCCTTTCCTTCCTGCTGAGCGATGGGGGGCGCTTCCCTGTTACCAGAAGATTCCGACGATGTTTCGGAAGATATGCTGCCATCGCACGACGGCGCGAGCGCAGATTTCCTGCCATCACACGACGGCGGTGCGAGCGCAGATTTGCCGTCATCACACGACGGCGCGAGTGTAGATTTGCTACCTTCCGACACGGACGACGCCATGGACATCGACGACAGTGCCGGCAGTGCTCTTGCGGAGCGGACTATGCCACGCGACGCTATGGATTTTATGACCCATGTGCGCCCTCATCAGTGGGCCTTTGGCGCATTGCAGTGTCTGGGCGCTTTTGTACCGCAGTATACTCTGAAACGGAGTTTACTGTTGAACTCGCCGTCTTTGACTATTCACTTCAGCGGCATTGGGACAGTGTAGTGGGCGGCGCAGTGTCTGCAGCGGGCGGCCGCCGGGGCCATTGGCATCCCAGTGTCCTTTCAGGCGCTGAGTGCGCGCGAGGAGGACCGCGCCTGCCAGGGCGCGTTGCGGCAAGTGCTACCCCCAGGCGCTTGTTTGTATTCAGGTATATCGGCCATCAGCCCGACCGCGGCTGAATTGCATGCTCACTTGGAAGAAAGCGGCGATGATCTGGACCTTGATTCGGCGTGGGATCAGATTCGGTGCGCTGGCGCGCTTCCGAGGTGGAGATGCCAGGCGCATGGCGGGGCGCTGTGCCAAACAAGCCGCCCTGACCTGGACGTCTCTGGCTCGCCGTGTCAACCGTGGTCCCGGGCGGGGTCGGGCCGGGGGATGCGCTCGCATCTGACCGTGCTGTTCTTGTGCTGGGTGCTCTGGGCCCGGACGCTGCGGCCCCGCGTCATTGTCCACGAGAACGTTATCGGGTTTGATCGGGCATTATTCAGTCGCCTTCTTGGGGATATTTACGATGTTTTTTTTTCCGGGTGCAGCCGTCGCACGTGGGTTTCCCAGTTGTCGAGCGGACGCGGGGCTATGCTATTTTGCTGTTGCGCAGCGGCGTGGAGATTCTGGTGGACCCGTCCGCGTTGTACGAGCAGGTGCAGCGCGCGTTCGCCCTTCATGCCCCTCCTGCTTCCTTGGAGATGTGTTTCGTGGCCTCGGACGCCGCGTGCCTCATGGAAGAGAACCGTGTGCGTGCGCGCCGGGGGTTGCCTGTGCTGTTCGAGCGGTCCCTTGATTGGTCCTATGTGTAAGCTTTCGGCCCAGTCCGCCACCGCGC